TTCTATTTGTCGGTTCGTTTACACGGGCTAGCTAGCCAGCAGCTCGTGGGATTTCGCAGGGCTAATTACCGTGCAGTAGGCGACCATCGCCGACCCCCTCGCGTGCGGATTGTCAACTTTCCCCGGAGAAAGCCATGGGCAAATTGAACCCGAGGGACTGGGAGGATGAATGACAGGTCCTGTCGTGGATACGACCTCTCCCAGCCATACTACCGGAATCCTTCGACGCAACCGGTTTCGGGCAACGGCGAGCCTACGTCGAGTCGAGGGTGAAGAGCCGACGCCAGCCAAGGATCGTGAAAGTTTAAACGTCTTTCCAAAATGACCCCCCCTCAAGAGCACGACTCTTTCTGCGTTCGGGATGATAGCCCGCTTGAAAGCTTGGCTTCTTACTGCGGTAGTCTTAGGGCCGCAACTACGTACACCTACCTCCCCAAGCACCGCAATCTCTAGTCATCGGAGATGCGAACACTAATTGATAGCAAGCGCAAGCTTTGGGTTGCCGCCCAACACGTGTTGGTGTGCAACGATCTGGTGATGGAATTGTTCTAGAAGGTGGGTGGGGAGGCCTTCCGTCCCAGGAAATGAGTCCCGGAAAGTTACGAAGAGGGGCCGGACGAGGGGCCGGGGAAGGGAAGCCGGTGAATTGCTGTCGGTAGGGTGGCCTTGGTTGGTTGGGGAGGGAAAGGGGGGCGTGGTCTTGTTTCCGGCGGGGGGGGGGGGGGCTAGTCTCCGGCGGGGTGTTGGAGGTTGGAGATGGAAAAGGGCAGACGGCATGGGTCTGCAAGAAAATAAAATAACAAAATAATAATAGAAAGGGCAATAAAAACGAGTTAACAGTAGGTGTGGTGGTGGGAGGTGACAGTTGGTGTAAAGGAGCCCCCCCCCCTTGGCGAGGCCTGGTCAGAAAGCTTCGGGAACGCGCTACACCACGAAGGGGAGAGAACCCCGAGGTCTACCGAGCAAGGTGTGGCCCGGATTGGGCGTGAGCCAGCGTGGTCACCCGAAATACTTTCGTTTTTCCACGAGATGGTGCCGTGGAAGGACCGACGGTGGAAAGTCTGAAAGAAATCATCGAAGATCTCATCCAAAGTTTATCACTTTTAATTATTATTTGGGTTAAAACAACAGAATGAAGAGGGTTGGGAAAGAGAGAGAGAGGAGATAGGATGACGCCCTCGGCAGCCCATTCAGATCGCTTATTCTTTTCCCGTTCGCTCTTCTGTCTGAAGGCAGGGTAGTGTTGACAAGCGGGGGAAAAGACCGTTTATGGCGAACGGTTGGGAAAGGCGATGCGGCGAGCATTGTCGCGAATAATGAAGATCATAGCGAACGAATGAGAGGAGCGCGTTTGCTTGGATTCTTGAACCACCAAATACTAAAGCATTAAAGTTAGAGAAGTGTTCGAATGCGGCCGCGATGTTCCAACATTGGCTTGAGTCCATCCTGAGCAGATTTTTCCAAAACTCTCATCGCTCGGAAGTCGTGAAATTGTATTATAGACTCTGAGGAGGCGTTTGGGCTTGGCTGGACTCTCTTTCTGTTGGAGCTGAATAGGACCCTGCAGCTGGTCTTGTCACACTGCACCAAACTGCAAACTTGGGATCAGAAAAATTAAGGTTATGTCCTTTCCCCCTCGAACACCTTGAACACGGTGACACAAACAGCTCGGTGACGGTCGGTCAGTGCTTCCTGCGCTTCGGACTTCCCTAGCACCTGGACAAATTCCCTTTGCCGTTTGACGTTTTGGGGTGGTTGGTGACTAGTCATCGGGATAGCTATCATGTACACTCGAAACCAAGGACGGATAGAAGCCCGGATGGGCGTTTATTCAGAAAATGAAAACGAAATAAAAAAAAAAAGTAATAATTCCAAGTAATAGCCGCGCTGTACCGTTAACAGATGGCGAGAAGTATCCTGACGAAGTACCTGATGTACCGTCAATCCTGAGTCATTATTCCCAACAACGAGCACCACCACTGAAGCCTATGCTAGAAGACAAAGGTGTGAAATCATCAGAGGAAACATATCAACCACGCCAGAGCAAGGGGGAAAAGACATGGACCCGGCCGGCAACGCGTAACGGGAGCTCCCCGTCTGCCGTGCAGAATCAATGTCTTGGATTTTTCCCTCCCGAAGAGGGTGTTGGTAGAGAGACGGGTAGACGCTCCAATAGTGATGGGGTTGTATGACATCAAGCCTTTTCCCCCATCGGCGATGACAGGCTTGGTGTCGCGCCAGTATTGGGATAGATCATCACCAACTTCTATTCCCCCTCCAAATGACCACACCCCCAACGGAAAATCAGTTCTAAAAAATGGACTGTGGATAGCAAGAATTATCAGATCATGGGATCTATGGGATCTGACTTGATCGATGAGAAGACCGCATCCAGTCAGATGGTGATCGATGTCAGGGAATCTGACACGGATTCCCCGTATGTTTTTGGTGCGAATGGGAACTGGGCAAACGTCACTGACGTCTTTTTTCAGGGGTGGGGAATTAAGGGACCATGGGGTTCACGACACAAACTCTGATCAAATCTGGGGAAAATTTGGTCACCCGAGCCCCACGATTTCGTCAACTTCCAAGTCAGCCTTGCCGATGGGGTTTGCGTCCCAGTTCCAGACCTTCAATGTTTGGCCGACGGGATGGCCTGGAACAGACGAACGAGTCAAACCCCCGGGACCTTTGGGGAGGAAAAACAAGAAAATGCGAATCTCGTGAGGTCCCAGAGGTTCACAATGGACTGATTTTGGGGTGCGGTTCCGGGGTCCGAAAAGGAGTCCAGACGTCGGATCCGGGGTAGACGATAACGTCATGTTCCCCCCACCTGGGGGGCTCACTCTGTTTGCCGTCAGGGTTGTCTATCATTACGGGATGAGGAATCTCCATCCCAAGATTGAAACCACAATTGACTCCGTTTTGACGTCTGTCGAACCCCAATTGTGGAAAAGAAAACACGAGATTAGAAAAATATGAAGAAAAAATAACAAAATGGTACCCATGGATAATGAAAAAAATTATTAAAATGTTTAGCGCTTGAGGAACTGAGCATAACCCTGCTTTTTCTTGGACCGTTTCAAGCTCTGGAGAAGCAATCGACAGCAGGGAAAACTACACGCACGCACACCCTATGAGGAATTCGAATTAGGCAATCTGCAGCTGTATGCAGAACATGCTGCAACGATACAACCAGGGGGGAAAGACGAGTGGGGGTTCGCAGTGAGAAGAAAAAGAAGATCCAAAATGCACGTCAAAAGTCGGTGAGGCAAGCCGTACCGCTCGGCTGACTGCCACGACAACAAGAGAGGTGTGGAGTTTCTCTCGTCCTTTTCCAATCGCATTTCGGGTGGTGAGGGGCTACCTGTACACCACAATGACCACACACACACACAAAGAGAAGAGAGAACGAGGCACAACACCAAGAGAGGATGGGGGTAGCAAAGGCGTGATCTAGCTTGTTGTTGTGCTTTTCCCCTCTAGAGTCGTATTCGTAGTGGTCTCCTGCAACACCCGATAGCCTGCTCTACTTCTGCATCGGCCCCTCCATCCTCGACGTGCCTCGCCTTGAGCTTTGAGCTGGCTCTGAAGCCACCAAGGCTATCTCGTCAACGGCGCCTCGTCGCGGGAGCGAGTCCCGGACCCGGCAGCGGGTTTTGCGTGTGTGGTTGGTGTGGCTGCTTGAACGAAAGGTGTGGCAGTCGTCAGCCACCAATTGAGTTCTAGCAATCGCATCACCAAACTAATCAACTGGCTCTGAACTCTCAATACCACACGCTCAAACCAGATCACCCCCTTGCATGTTGCTTGTTCACCAAGCGTATTTTGATATCGAGATTCGACAGATGGTCAATTGCAAACCAATTCATGTCACCAATTCGTTCTCAGTTTCGAAACGGCACAAGGTGGATCACGCGATGGAAATCTGAACAACCACCACGCAAAACGTCGACCCTACTGTTGCAATTGCGACTTCTCGCCTAAGTCTCAAACTCGAACTAAGGCAGGCCGACCACCGATGCTGGACAACTCACCACCTCCCTCTTTCCTCCCGCCGCTAATACACCACAGTAGCAAGAGAGAGGGCAAGAGAGCCAGTCAACAGAATCTGCAGCTCCACGCGGGCAAGGCGCAAAGAAAAGAAGCGGTTACACACCCTCTATTATTTCCCCGCCCCCTGCGCGGGCAGCTGGAGCTAAAGAGCTCGGAAACAGCCTTAACCGCCATCAACATCCTCGTTCGTCGGGCAGAGCGGTGAAGAATTACACGGTCTGTCTCGAGGGTGTATATACCGGACCTTGCCCTTCGGCTATTGAAGAAAAGGGCATCTCGTGGCCTGGCCAAGTGCAACACCCCCCACCAAAGATGCAGAACCCGTTCAAGAGAGAGAAACTCATTACGTGCAGTATAACGATGCGGGGTGGTTCCCTCTGTGCGTGTACTGCGTATGTTCTTTAGCTTTTCTAAACCCTTGACCAAAGCCTAGAGGCGAAGAGTCATCGTGTGCCCTTGTCGTTAGTAATCTGACGTGTTCTTCTGGCATTGCTTCTCTGTGGTGGGGGTTATTGGAAAAGTGAGGGGTTTCAGGGCTTTCTCAACACTAAATTTGGCCTATTCTCCATTTCGAGAATTGATACTGACCAAAATGCCGCGTTTCCTGGGGAGGGGGTGGAAAGTCAAGACTGAAGCTTGGGCATCAACAATGGCTTGAGGAGAACAGTCATACGCACAGCAACGGGGAGAGGGTCAAGCATTGAGCTGGCCCAGAAGGAAGCAAAAAGTGATAGCTTCGTCTGCCCCTCACTATCGTCGCCATTTCTGCCTCGCTAACGAGGTCGTGGAGGGGTAAACGGGGCCTGGGGTGTAAAAGCCTTGCCCCCCAAAGGCCAAAGGCCCAGGTAGGCCGTCGCTGGTGACTGACGAGGCATCGTGGCCCTACCGCGGCTACGTGCGGATGCAAAGTACTCAAAGTCCCTGCAGAATCTGTGACCGTCCATCACGGTTCCGCATCCCCGAATGAGGGGGGAGGCCGCGATCCAGCGCATCGTGACCCCCCGTCCGTTCAGCTACAGCTTACAGGGCGTTCCGCATATCCCGCCATGCGCCTTCACTCAATCTGTCTTTCTCTCTCGGGCATATCCCGACGATTGATTACCTTGACCTTACAGCGACACATGCCCTGCCTGGTAGTACGGGGCCCGAGGCAAGACTCGGCCACAATTGTAAGGGTCCTTTGCCATCGTTATACAAGTCACCTGAACGACTGCGTGGGCTATCGACAGGAGGCAACCAGTTGTACCGCCCATTTCTTCATCGCCGAAGAGGGAACCAAGATCCCGCCCCGTCCGAGTTACGCCTCCCCCGAACCGCGGTGCGGACATTTCCCCGCGAACTATCCGTACCTACCTCACTGTTCCGCACGTGATGCGGGACGTCCTAAGTTTGGAGGGAGGAGAAGAATTCGTCAGCTCCAGGCGCAAAGCCACACCCTCTCACGTGCCACTTCCGCCCCACCCCGAGAAGTTGGGGCTTAGCTCGCGCTCCGTCCTGAGGTGTCCGTCTCCAAAATTTCGGCCAAACGGCGATGCCGCGGGCCCCGCAAAGCCACCACAGCCTCAGGTGGATACCCCAGCAGCTTACGCAGTCACGTGGTAGTGTGAGAAGACCAAGAGCCGCGCACAACAAGCCACACGCACGGCCCCCCCCAGATCCCACCACGTGCTTCTGGCCTACGGAACCGGGGTGTGAGGGTTAATGGAGCCAATCATTGTGTCCAATCACACTACTTCATCCCAAAGATGCCATACCCTTGACGCTCTTTTGTAAGTCGGCCCCTCTTCTTCGAGGTGGAGATGGTTCACTGGATTAAGTAGAAAAAAAAATATTCGAATAAAATATTGAGAGAAAAAAAGATACAACGTTTGAACAGTCAGCAAAAAAGCCAAGATGGCACCGGGAAGACCCCGATCCCACCCGCGGCCTTATTATGGAGTTGCACCCACAGTCCAGACTTTTGCCTTGCAAGCTGAGCATGTCGGAGAGTTCGCTGCACCTGATCCAATTGAGTGCATACATCGAAACCTCCCTATGGTGTTAGTACGAATAGCAGGCTTGTATTCGTCAGTTTACCGGCACTTATTATGTGAGCCGCATGGTTGTCTGAGGCAAAAGGCCAAGAGCCATCAATCCGTCCCATCCCTTTCCATTACTCCATCACCGAGTTGGGACCGAAATATTCTCGTCACCCATTCACGGAGGTTGTGGATATACACAGTAGGTTGTACTGAGAAAAATTCATCTTTTTTTATTCGCTTGAATTACCATAGAACAAGGCATCTACTGTGGTTTCTTCTTTGGCTGTCACGTCCCCATAACGCACACCAAGTGTTAGTAATCCAGTCTGATCGAATGGACTGACCCAGATGACCGGCCCCGGAGGTGGTTCCGATGCGGACGAGATTCCGCACTCCTGTCTCACCAACCATTCTGTTGCATTGTTCCAAAAGCCTCAACACCCAACACCATATTTTAGCTCACATGCATCCATCGGCAGTCGGCAATCTCTTGCTTTGACGTGCTAGATCTGAAGCGGGGAATCGCATCGTCTCGACATCGGAAGAAGGGGCTTGGCATTATCGGATTGACAGTATCCTGCTTGAATACCTTAGATGGGTTGCGTTATAGAGTTCACATGCGGGAGTCGCAGCTATGCCAAGCAGAAACGGGTTGGATGGCACTCGTCATATCTTTCCGGTTCCCATTATCGGCAACTGGACGGCAGGCTGCTTACAACCAACGGCATCAAGCACGGTCACATAGTTCGGAACGTTGACAAAGGTTTAATCGGATCCGGGACAGTCACACCTGCCCCTCGAATACAGTTTTCCGATTGAGGGTGGCATTCAATATCTTCCCCTGCCCATCTGCCATGTGTCAGAAAAACAACAAAAGGACGGTATGCTTTTTAGCCCTACTGCGTTTTCCCAAATCTCGAAACTACCTCGGGACTACTTTTCGCTCCTTTCGACGCTTGATACTCATCTCGGGCAGTCTAGATGCCGGGTCCAGAATCCCAACCACCACGAAAATGGTTTCCAACGAAGAACCCGGACATGCTAGGCCTTTCTAAATACCGAAAAAGAAAGGAGGAGAGAATGTGGAGTTTCTTGGAGCCGTTCCTAAGAATTGCTAATTAGATCTGGAAACCCTCTAAAGTGGCTAACTTAGCATCCACGAAATCCACTCACTCCCGACCCCATCCCAACGCCTTCTTCTCCAAATTTTGTCACGCAGGGAGAAGGGATGGGACGGAGGACTCGTGGACGTGAGCCAGTGAACCCAGGGCCCAGAGCCTCATTGGAACTCGTTACGTCGCGGGCCTTGCGCGCACTCGCCGAACCGTCTCGACGAAACGCGCTCTCTCGTCTTTTCTTCTTCTCTTTCTCCACAAAGGCGCCGAGTCCAGTGGCAGTGAAGGACTCGGGGTTACTTACACGCACACCTAACAATGCCCTCCAATCACCAACCTCCTATTCTCCAGAATTTACCAAGTAACACGATCCCTCCTCGCGCAAAAAGCCGGTACAGAACCACGCCCATACAAGAAAAGAACCAGAGAAACTTAGCCCCGTCATGAATTATGAGCAGATTGCAATCACCTGGGTTTTCCACCTGGTAGTATACACCTGCCCACATAAAACTGCCGGAATGTATAGAACCGTGTAGACGTGGCGGGGGAAGTGGTTGCGGATCAAACACGATTAACCTAACGATTCCACACCACCAACCGCATCATGCTCGCGTGGCATCTTTGAATAGAACGCGTTCGAGACCATTTCGGCCACTTTGGGACAATTTTCAATCTCTAGAGCTGGTGCACTTTACCTATCGACAATAATTCCAGCGAAGTTGATCGCGAAAACACTACGACGCAACTGCAGTAGTGTCAAGACCGCCCAAAAGAAAAAGCACGCCCATGCGCATAATGATGCACCAGCCGGCAGAGTAGCATCGGGGGAAGAAGAAAGACGCTTCGAGTTTTCTAATTGGCGTTTCTTCCACGCTATTGAATTCGACTCAATTGAAGGATGGGAAACTCGTATCGAGAGAGTTCGGCGTGCGCGATATCGATAAATCGCCATCGTATCAGCAGCCAGCAAGTTAACTAAGTATTGTCGTCTTCTCGATTGGTGCACGAGAAGTAGGATGACGGTAGAGCGACCACTGGCAAACCCGCCTGTTCTCTAGATAGCTTCAGCACAGGATTTTGCACATGTCAGCGCAAGTTACGCCCGTCGCCGCCCCCGGATGCGTGACATCAAGGACGCAGCAACTCTGACCCTTTTTTTTTTTTTCTCCCCCGCTGGGACGATGAGATATGCAGTGGTCTGGGCTCATACTTGGTTCAGCATCCACAGCAATGACCTTTCAGCGTCTCCTTTTCTGCCGTTCAATGTCTCTACACTTTTACAGAGAGTACTTCCTCATCTGCCTCATTTCCATCAGCAATCGAAGTCCCGTTCCTCGTGACACAAGCCAAAGGATCAATGCAATCGCAAGCCTTTGTTATCCTTTGCTTCCCCCCCGCAATCTCAAAACCAGATGTATCAGAGAAATCAACGAAAAGGAAAACCGAATTAAACGCCTCTCTGCGGCCGGCCGCTCCCCCCTCACTCTCGCAAAGGACAAAAACGCCACGATATTTTAGCCAAAGACATAGAACAGGGCAGACACGGAGCCGCGACACGATTTAAGCCGCAAGGCTCATCCGCAGTATAGGGGGGAGGGAAAAAAAAACCGGCAATGTGCCGGAGGTGCGCATACCCAAATCAAGAGAAACAGACGAACGAAGACTCACACACACGTAAAAACGCACACCGGAGTCCGGGCACCACCGCAGACTCAAGCCATGAAGCCTCCCTACGAGCCTCCGAACTGACGAAAAAGAGCGATAAATAAAGCCCTGTCAGCATATCTAGCGCAAATCTCCCCTCCTCTTCCTGAGTCTTACTTACCCCTTGTGCGGCGGCGGCGGCGGCGGCGACGGCGTCGCGCCCCTCCTCGAATTCCGCGGAATGCCGGGTGAGCAAGCCACGCGCCAAATTCCCAAATCTCTTTTCCCTCAAATCCTCGGGGAGTCAAGGAGCGGGCATCAATACCTACCTACCCAGTAAGAAGGACGTAGAATTGAACCAGGTACTTCTTATGAAGAAGTAGCAAGAGGGTAAAGTCAAAAAGTATCGCAGCCTGTTTCCCCGTATGGACCATCACACCATCAGAGAAGAGATCAGACTGTCAATCTCGCAATCTTCCCCCGGATCGCAAAGATACCAAAAGGAAAAAAAACATCCATCCGATAACGAAGGTATCCAAAGGTCGTCGGTATCCCACAATGCCAATGCCACTCGACAAAAGTCTTTTGCGATCCGGGCACCCGCACAGAGTACCTTAGGTACGTTTAGAACCAGGCGTTTACGCGTCTACATTTGTCCCCAAATAGTTATTTCCTCCAAGAATTCTGTATCCCGTACTGGACTGCCGATAGGTGTGTGTGTGTGTGTGTGTGTCCGTACCTCTGGGAAAACATTTTGGGCTTCCTACAAACCACAAGCCAAGATCGACTCCTCACCTGACAGCCTCAAACTTTATCGACCACCCCCCTCCTCCTCCTCCCCATCCATACATACACTTATTCCCCCGCTCTCCCCCATCAAAATCTAGCCACGGCAACAACAAAATCACACACATGATCGAAAACAAGATCCAAACAAACAACAGATGAACAAAACTCTCTCAGGGAAAAGCAGATCCATCCATCCCTCGGCAAACACTCCAGCTCGGCAAAAAGACCTGTGCTTCCTCACCAAACCTGGACGGGGGGGAGGACAACATCAATGAACAATCACAGGCCAACTATTCTCCTCAGTGTAAAAGACATCAAGAGTGAATCAAAATTTTACCCAAAATGCGCAAAAAAGGTGATTAAACGCATGTGGCAGTCATCCCCTTCCCCTTGCCCTCCCTCCCCGAGAAACATGCAGCGTAAATCACGTACCTCGTCCGTACTCTGGACTGGTATCAACCACCTCTCACTTTCACATGTCCACGAAACCATCCCTCTCTCCGCAATCGCAAAAATGCCAAAGCAACAATACTCTAGGATTGCAAAATCCAGCCCATTCTCAATGCGACTCTTCCTCTTCCTCTTCCTCTCCCACTCCCACTCCCCTTCCAATGTCCCTCCCCTGGCGCAGCCCTAGCGTAACCCGCCGGCGCCTTGGAATCCCCCCATGTCAGCAATGGCCGAGCCCATGCGGTAGCTATGTCTCGTCTGTCTGCCTACCCATTGCCTTAGTACTCCGTACTCCGTAGATAGAACTCGATAATGCACAACACCGATAAACGGGCTCTGCTTCCGGTCCCCGGGTGGCTCGTGATGGAGCGCAGCTCTAGCGTATCGGCCAGCGGTGAGCGCATGGGCTTTTCGTCTGCGCTTCTGCCATCAGTCAGCAGTAGCAGCAAGTAGTCATCTGCCCGGTCGCGCAAGTCCATACAATGCGAGGCAACGCCTGTGGTGAGTGTCACAGGGCACATTGAATTGAAAAGAATGAACAAATGAATGAATTGCAGCGTCACAGTGATGATGAGACGAGTGTTTGATTGAATGGCCAACTTTTATTCATGTTTTTGCTAAACTCTTTTGACGATTTTGGGATTTTTTTGGCTTCGTCGCAATGATCTTGCTTTTGTGGTCCATCTGCGCCGACCTTCTCGTGCGCTTTTTGTTTTTCAAACCAGCTTTTTTCAACCTCTTCTGCCCTTTCGGCCGTTCTCGTGGGAGTTCTCCACTTTTGGTCTTCCACCACCCGGTTTTTCTTCTCCCCCCTATGTCTTGTCATCAGCATGCCCCAGTCAGTGTCAGGTCCTGCTGTTGAAGTCGCCTTCGGGCAATGCCTTCTGTAGATGTGTTTTCCCCTCCTGTTGGTCCTGTCCATAGAGTACAATCCACCTCTCCTTCACTACAAAACTTTCAAACAACCATGTAAATGCAGAGACCCAGACCCATTGATAAAACATGAAGGTGGTATGTTGCGAAGACAAAACAGACCATGGTATCGTGTGATGAAGAGACGCCGTGCAAATGTGTGAAAATTAGAATCAGGTCCAAAAGGCCCACCCCGAGGCCCAATGAATGCACCCGTGTCGTATCATGGGACTGAATAGTCCCAACTATGCGCGCCCATGATTATGGTACTATGATGAATGGCAGAGCCGATGCGATGCCGCCGCGCGCAATGCAGTGTAAAAGCAACCAGAAATAGCTGTGCTCGAGCGGGCTCGAAGGCCACACGCTCGTCAGATATCGTGATAAGTGTGTGTGTTTTGTGTTGTGTTGTGTGTGGCGCGGTAATGTAATAGGGATTTACCATCCCTTGGAGTGGTAGCCTCCAAAGTTGTCAGTATCCTTGGAGAAATACTGGGGGTTGACCGGGGCGTCTCCGTTCTTGAGGCAGACCTTCTCGGGGTACTGCTTCAGGTTGGCGACGTCGTGAGAGGTATGGCGTCTCTTGAGGACAGCGTTGGCAGTAGACGACTTTTGCTGGCGTTCCCAGAGAAGGTTGCGGCGAAGAGACTCGGTCAACTCAGTCGCAAGCATGTTGCGCCGGGTAGTGCGGGGAGAAAGAGCAGCTTGGAGGTGGCTGTGGCTGGCTGTAGCATGGATAGGCTGGGCAGCCGAGCGAGGCACCTCGTTGATGGGCTTCAGAGGAGAAGAGCGATTGCCGCGCTTCATCATGAGAGGGGCGTCATCAGAGTCGTTCGGGGAGACGGCCAAGGTAGGAGGAGCCGGGTGGCTAGTGCGCGACCAAGGGAGTGCCGAAGTAGACTGGGAAGCAATGTTGCCAAGCTTGGTGGAGCGGTCGTTCTGCTCAGTCATCATGAGCGTGATCAATGAACGGCGCGAGGTCAAGTTGACCTTGGAGTCGACGCGCTGGAAGAAGGTCTTCTCATCAATGCTAGACTTGTTGCTGTCCTCAATAGAGTCTTCCCAGTCGGAAGAATCGTCGTCATCATCAATGGCGCTCTCGTCGACGTAGTCGGTCTCTGAGTCGTCGGCAATAGCAGAGTTGTCGTCGTTGATCATGCGGGTGGAGACATGGTCGGCAAAGGAAGTCGTCTTCTTCTGACCGGTGAGCAGGGAGCCGGGTTGGGAGGCAAGAGCACTCTTGAGAGAGCTGTCCTCCTCGGAGGAGCCGCCGACCTGGAACATCTTGCGCTTCTGGACAGGAGCGGGAATGGGTCTGAGGTTCTCGATGCTGTGGCCTTGTTCACTCGAGGAGCAAGACTCGCCAATGGAGAACATGGGCTGCTTCTTGGACAGGATGGGCTTGGCTGCAGGTGATGACCTCGGCTCGGGAATGGCGGCGGGAGAGATAACCTTGGGAGAGGCAGGGATGGCTCTGGGGATCTGGGATGGAGAGAAGCCGCGGACGACGGTGGTGCGAGAGGTGATTTCGGGTGAGGTCGGCTCTTGGGAGTGCTCTTCTTCCGATGACTTGCAAGGCGACTCGGTTGTGGTAGATCCAGAGTGCTCGTAGACGGGGGAGGCAGGGGCCAGGTCGGGAGTCTCCTTCATAGGAGGCATGTAAGGGGAGGCCATTTGCGGAAGAGGTGCAGACAAGGGCTCGTTCTCCTTGATAATGGAGACGACCATCTTCTCGAAGTCGCCGGAAGTGATGTGGCGTTCCTTGCCACGGCTGCGGTTGCTCGCGCAAGAGTCCTGTCTTTGGATTCTGGGGCGGATCTCGAGGGGTGCGGACAATGAAGTGAAGTCGACTGCCTCGTCGTCGTTTTCTGACTCAACACTGCCGGACAGTTGAGGAATATCTTGTATTCTGCTGGCTTGGGGAATCTCTCTGGGCAGGCTGGTGGCGGTGATGGAGGCTTCTTCCTCCTCGGTGCAGCAGAACGTTTCACGGTTCCACAATCGCCAGCTGAGGTTTTCTAACCTGCGACCCTGCTCAACAGACTCTGCGCACTTGGCAAAGACTGGGGGTGTGTTAGTAGGCGCGTAGTGCGCGAGCTCCTTGAACGGAGCAGCCAGGTACGAGATGCTTACCAGTCCACATGCTGTAGAGGTTCTGAGGATTTGAGGTATCCACCTTGTTGATGACATTGGTGTCCACTGTCAGGACGTGCGTATCGAGAGGGTAAGGCATTGCGCCGAGATGGGCTGCTCGAATTGAGCAGCTGGAGGTAGTCGGTTCCGCGGATATGGTGGTGGTTGAGATTGAAGAGACACCCAGCGTTGAGGGTGTATTGGGATTCAGTACAGTAGGGCAGATTCGGCACCTGGAGCGAAGCGAGATGGATGTTGTCGAGATCAGATTTGGAGTCGCGGGTCGTGGTTTTGCGGGTGGCGGTCGATGATGTCGACGATGAAGTGATGGGCGCTATGTACGTCGGGGAAATGATGTCGCTGGAAGTGCTGATGCAGACGTCGAGGTGCGGAAGGGCGAAGACAGGAATGCTTTAATATGATGGCGTTTACGGGAGGGGAATCTGGAGAATGCTGGCTCTGGATGTGCGGAGAGGTGTCGAGTCGATGGTCGAGATGTGCTTCTGGTGGAGCAATGAAGTAAGAGGAGAAGGGAAGGGTGGAAAGTCTGGGGGAAGACGGACGTTAATAATTATCGTCACCTCGGGTTTGGCCAGAGAGAGTTGAAAGATGTGGATTAGATGGCAGCGGAGTGGGATGCATGTAAGTAAGTATAGGTAGATGTAATGTGCGATGGGCAATGGGAAGAGATGGGGATTGGGGGGGAGTGGGTGGAAGGGGTGAGAGTACCTTAGGATTTTTGAGGGGGGGGGGGCGTGGGAAATGTTGATGCTGGCATGGGGGTGAGTCGCGGTGAGCAAAGTACGTATATCCTCGCACCTCCCTCAGCATGGGACAAGAAGACAAGAGGGGAGGGAGGAGCGAGCAGGGGCCCCCGGCATGGAGCACCACTACCTGGTAAAGAGGGAAAAAAAGAAGAAGGCACGAAGGAGGGAAGGGAAAGAAGAGGGTGTGGGTGCTGAGGTGTGGGGGTGTGAGTGAGAATTGGGTATGGAGAGGTAAGGTACGTACTGCGAAAAAATGAGAGAGAGGAGAGACCTTGGGACCTGAGGCCTTGGGTTGTGACGACGGAAGTGTTGAAGCAAAGTGGAGGTAACTCGTGTATCCAGGTACGGGGCACAAAGTACCGCCAGTCGGTGGCTTTTCTCTTTTCCAGAGGGGACTGACCCTCCCCAAGACGAGCATCACAGGAAATACCACTTCTTCTCAGTTACCAGGTAGGTATTCGTGCGGATATACGGACAGCATTCTGCGGTTGCTCAAGCTCTCGACTGTCTTTGCCTCCAGTTGTATCTGCCCATCTGTCCTGGCGAGAGACGGACAGGTCTGTTCTTCTCTGCTGGTTCTTTCGGCTTGTGACGACGCTGGGCCTCTTCGTGCCGGGTGATTCAGAATCAGGTCTAGAGCAGAAAGAAAGACTCAACTCAGTCAACCTAAGTCAGTCATGTCAGTGTGTTCCATCCCAAGCAATGTCAGGGTGTCAGGGGTTCTGAACGACTCTTTGCGGCGGTATCTCGGTACGTAGCCGAATGTACAGACGTAAGACTCCACGAGACCACAGAACCAGAACGGAGAGAGCGCGGAACAGTAATACCAGCACCCAGCAGCGCAGCCATCAAGCGCAAGACGGCAAGGCAGTCACGGGTGCGCAAGAGACCTTCTGGGACGGTCAACGACACAGGGATACGTACAAAGGGCACTCCAAGGGCCCAAGGGAAGGGGGTTGACGAGGTCCAGAAACTTGTCGTTCGGGGAAGTTCGGTACACTGCCTGGACGGGGCAAGTCGTGGTGGCTCCCCCCCGGAGTTCGAGAGGGGGTCCAGGAACGTGAGCTGTCTTGACTCTTGACTTTTGCTCTGATGTTCCCCGAGAGACTCCTCCCAGAGAGACAGTAGCTCCCTTATTCTGATCTCGAACCAAGCCCAAAGGGGCATCATAGGGCAATTGAGCTGAACCCCATACGGCAACCCAACGCGCGATTTTGGGAGCGCGGATGACCCAAGATACTACTCCTTTCGGTATAGCTCATGTCTGTCGACACTTAGCCGTTTTAGGCAGTACTCCAGTCCGTTGAGGCGGCGAACGTCGACGGTCAGCTGTCCGCTCTTCCCCCTCTCCGTTCCATCCCTCCACGTCTTCCAACTTCAGGAACGAAAACTTTCAATTGAGACCTGGGGCCTGGCCCAGCTCAGTCCGTTGGGCTCCACGTTCAGCTCCACGGACGCCTCGCCCACGGGACCGTTTGGGTCATGTGACGGGAGTCTTCTGGCCGTCTTCGTCGCGGCATCACCAATCCAGGCCCATTAGATTGCCGCATTGCGTCCCGTCTGTCCGTCGGTTGTTTTGTCACCGTCAGCACCTCGGCCAATCCAGACCAAGCTACTCCGTATGGAACATGCCAATTCAGTCTCCATATCGCGTCTCCGTCACGGTTCTGGATCTTTGGGGGGCACAGAATCTTCGTACGTACGTTCAAGAGAAAAACGGAGACTCTCCCTGTGCGGAATACGGGGTTTCTGTCACCAATTCTCAGTGGCTAAGTCGTCTGGCCGAATATGCGCCGCGCCTCATCTCCACGTTTTCCATCCAAAAGTCTCCATCGGCCTCGTCTCGACCTCCAAAGACTCCTCCACAGGCAAAGGCTCCTCCGCAGAGTCCACACCTCTACCCCCGTCCGGTCCTCCGTCGCGCTTTTTCCGTCAACCGTCATTCGGTACCTGACCGAAACACCCGTACACTACCCAAAGAGGATAAGCCAGAGATCTGCTACCCAAAGAGGCCTGGCGTACCTCCTCGATCTACCGTCCTGCCGGCACTGTTCCCCTTCTGGCACCCTCACAGACCGCGACGGCCTAGAACGAATGCAGCCTCGACAGCTCGCTGCCATTTACAGCGATTTCCGTCTGGTCACTGGTCACGAGCCGCCGTGCCTCTTCCCGCCGAAACGGATCGCCGTCCAGCTCGAACCGTGAAGGCAACGTCCATCAACGCCCTGTCCCTGTCGGTCCCTGTCCAGCTGCTCACCTGCCCTGCGGCCTCGCTGCTCTTCTCCGAACCTGGGGAGCCACTGGAGGGGAAAAAGACTTGTCCTGCCAGAGGGAAAGGGTCCCTGACTGACTGACTCCTTGAGCTGAGAACGGCACAACGGAGGTGACAACGCACAACGAGACCACCAGAAGAAACGCTCGACTCGACTGGTTCGCCTGGTTCTCTCTGCTGTGCCCGTGACTTCGGACCAACCCAAACCGATGCTTTTTCAATCTCTGCTTCGAGGCTTTAGGTTGCTCAACCCTTCCGTCGGGACGACCGCCAATCGCTTCCCCGGAAACCCCCCTTTGAGTCTTGACGTTCACTCTACGAATACTGGGGTCAAACAGATGCCCTGGTTCCGAACGTTCCAATTTCCCCAGCATTCGTTCCCGTCCCTGATGTCTGGATCACGAGTCGCAGGTGCCGCTGCAAATACAGTGCCCGTTAATTGGATTGCCATGGCATTGTCACCACGAGGACAGACTTGTCGCAGCCCCTCTTCCGCTTCGAGCATCTCCAAACCTACGGATACCACAGCCGCGAGGTCCCTCGGGACGAAATCCGGCCTGCTACGCGGAAGGATAGGTTTAGGCGCAAGATTGAAGGGAGAACATCTTTCGGCAACTCGCAGTGCCCGTCCGTGTCCACGAGACTATCTCTCATGGTGGCTGCATAGCCCTCGATAGTGTCGACTGCTCATAGTGAGCTGGCACCAAAGCAGCTTGCTTGGGCCCGGACTCGCGACGGCGACAAGGTCAATTCGTCGTCGCCAAATTTGGTTGCGGACGAATCGGCGGCGGCCCGTCCTTGAGCGCTGACACGGCGATGTGACATGCTCTGACCCCCTCGCTGGCTTGCGACTTTGCTGCTTGACTGGTTGCGGCAGCGCGTCTGCGCTCGCCCCAAATCGACCCCGTGATGATGCCCATCACTTAGGTCATCAACAAATCCTGCCGCTTGTCGCCTGTCTGCCGCCTGCCCGCTTCGCCCACGAAGCTCAGCCCTCGTGAGGCGTCAGTAATGACAAGGGACGCCATAATAACAGTCATTCTCAATGTTGATCGCAAGGAGGCATCCTATCTACAGACATGCACATCAGCCAAGCAGCAACTTGGAACCTGGTATCGATGATGAACTCAACCGCCCTGCTTGCTCATCGCCTCATTACCTACCCCGCGGTTGGTTGCCAGAATGTCATGGGATCCAGTGTTCATCAACGGGTTGGACAGGGGGTCGGGGGCAGCAAGAGGCAGAAGGGCGCTTTGTGGGCTCTCTCACGCCCCGGGATGAGTTGTTCTTCCTGCTCACGAGAGACACTCATGCCAACTCAGAGGTCAGAAAGAAGAAGGCCAAGACGTATGCAGTCGGTGTCAGAAGGCATGGTTGAGACTGATCGATCCTGAGGGACCGACAGAAGCAGCATGCCAGACCTTCGTTAAACCTTCGAGGCTTTCTGGTTCCTGAACCAGGCGAGACATTCGTTCCCGAACTCTCAAGCCCCGGCATGGGTCAACTGGTCACCAGGCCCCAAAAAGTGCCTCGTCACAGCACCTGGGGGAACTTTGGAGAGGCTGCAATTGGACCCTTGAAACGTCACCTTTTCCCCAATGCAGTTGCTGGAGCAGTTCCTAGAGACTGGTGTTCATTTCACCGCGTTGGTGGTCACTCGTCACTCACCTTGCAGTTCGTTTTTCTGCCACTGGACATCACCAAAGCCCTACAATCCAGAGTTTCAGGCTTTCAGGCTTTGCTCATGGTCCATGTGGTTCACTCATCGCGCAATGACCGCCGCTTGTTTGACAACTCACATTTTCAACTCTACGCAAAAAGCAACGTTTGTCGTTCGATTGGGACCTTGCTTGACAACAGTTTGGTCAAGTGACGGGTTGCCTCTGGAAGCCCAAAGTCAAGCCAACGCCGGCACCCCACGTCTCGTTAGGTACCATGAAGCAAACACCGCAGCTTAGGGGGCTGAAGCCACTGCCACTCTTTTCCTCTTTTCCCTCACCCTGAAGCCGCGCCACGCCTGGCATCACGGCGACTATCAGCGCGGGATGCTAGTTCTGTGGGAGCACCCGTCCGTCCGTCACGGTTGGCGGAGCGGCCAATACCCCCCTACTCTCCGTGGTCATCTGTTCACCCTTGACCCAGGGTGACTGGAGGATTCTGGCCTGCCTATCTCGCTGTATCCTTGAATGTTGAAGCCCGATGTGCACGGCATTTTGATACGGGCTTTCGGCGCCATCGTCGATGGGGAGCTCCGCCCGTGTCAAGCCCGAATTGACAATGGCAGAGCACAATATTATCTGCCAGGGGGCACTTGTCGTGAGCGCCGTCTCCTTGGTGTTCGCTTCGCAGAAAACGGTCTCCGGGGGACCACGATATCGCTTCCGCGACCATCTAGCAGTCCCGAGGCCGTGGTAATCATACGTCGTGCGGAGCTAATGGGAAATGGACAGGCCCTACGATCCTGCTCCAACTCACCCCCGACAACGGACCGAGAGACAAAACGGAACCCGCGAGTAACATGATTGTGAGAAGACGCGAACATGGTGACGATCATACGAGGCAGGAGGGAAAAAAGGTATTGTATTAGCCTTGCAAAGATATCGCTTGCGCACATGAGAACACGCGACGCCGAAGCCAACGGCGCAGTTGGAGCTAGGGGAGAGGCTTTACGAGGAATCAATCACTCTTGATTCCTTCCCAAACTCCCGGATGCCGGTGTGCACGGGTTCTAAGATGAAGGGCACGGCGCAAGCCATACTCGAACTGGGTACCCGGTGAGCATTCCATCGAAAGACCGATGGCGCGACAAACAATTGTTCGGTGCAAGTTGCGCCCTCGAGCCGGGGTGGCATATTCGTACGCTTAGTGTACGAAGTAGACATGGCCAGAAAAGATGAGACGACTTGGATCCAACAACCCGGATTATTGGAATCGTGGGATTGTCAGGAGTGTCGTTAACTGACAGGACTGTTGGTTCTCCTCCCTTTTCCTTCCTCGGCTACGACTATACCCATGGTATTGCGAGTTGTTGCGACAAGCAGGTCAACGGGGGATGGGTGAAAACTGATATCCCATGGGCCATGAACCCATGCCATCATTCACGAAAGGACGGAGCATTCACCTGAAGTTGACCTCGGCCGGGGGTGGGAAGGGGGGGGAGCGGCCCGGTTCTGGAAGGCCAACTGATGCATCCCAATCAAATTGACTTTGCTACACCCGGTCACCGGTAGAGGGATTGGGAAGGCGATAAATCATACAAAAATCCCAAGAACCGGGGACGGTGTAGACGCTCCACCACTCATAGTCCACTGCTATTGTGGTTGGTTGGGCGCAACAGGAAAAATCGTGCACCTCGGCCTGGCTTGCGGTACTTCTTCGCTTCGCCGCACACAACTGCAAGCACACCAGGCCACCCAGGTTCCGCCAAGGTGAGGAGAATGCCTGTGAAGGTGAAAAGGTGTGGGAGTTGGAGATTGGAGAGGGGAGGGGGAAGGGTGTGGTTCTTTGAGCAGACGGGTCCCGACAAGGCATCTCCAACGACGACAATTACGACATGGCCCTCCGACTCCCTCTTTCTTGTCTTCTTCTCTCAAAAGGTTCCCAGGGGACTGGACGACGACACCCATGATGAGACGAAATGGGCCGGGTCCCCGGTTCACACTTGACTTTTGACCTCACATATCTGATTTTGTTTTTGCTACTACGGATACTTTCTAGGTCGCTGTTTGCACGCCTTGTCGGCTACTGCGAAAATGATACGTCGCATCGGCCGAGAGATTGGGAACCTTGGCCTCGGGAATATTTACAGCATAGAGTTTGTGCCTAGCTATCCCTACGGCGCCTTAAGCTCTGGGGAGAGGTGGTGGTGGTCAGTCACAAGGTGACTGATAACATCATCGCCAGCATCTGAGCATACAGATACCAGTACGTAAGGGCGAGAGGGAAACCGGACAAAAATTGGCAGAGAAAGGGGAGAGAAATGGTGTGTGTGCCTCTGCCATCCCGGACAGCATGCAGGGATGGGTTTGTCAATCGGGCTTCCACAACGAGAAAGCAATGTGGGGGCGCGCCCTTCTCAGTCCGCGGCGGACGGGGCCGCTTCCGGCGCGCTGGGCCCCGAACTTCTTCTGTGAAGGTTTGTGCATGTGTGTGTGTGTCAAGCTCAGGAAAGGAATTGCGGAATTTCCTAGGCCGCCCGCGGCCGGGTCAGCTGGTGATGTCCGAAAAAGCAAATACGTGAAAATCGCGACTTCTGTCATTGGCGCGAGGGAAGGCAAATAGTAGTTTAGCCAAGACGAAGCTGACTCGAATCGCGGTAGGTACGGAGTAGGCCTGGTTGTAATTACCGGGCTTTTCGATGCGTCGGGATGTAGAGTAGGTCCCGGATTTCGGAAGATGCTTGGTGCAAGGTAGTGCGAGTCGACCATCGCGATTTGGAGGGCGTATGAAGCATCACGATCTTTATCGGTTCACTCGAATCGACGGCACGTTTGCGTATTTGTTTTGCTTTGAAAATCGTTTTTCCCTACAGCGAAAGTCAGTGTCCGCTTCTGCTGAGACTTGCCATCTCATTCCTGTTTGTCGCGTTCAGTCGTTCACTTGGCTTGATGGACAGTTTGCAGTACACTACGTATTCCCATAGGCTACCTATACTACGTGGCTGAAGGCGGCGGTCAGATGCGCGGAGACGGAATGCACGATGGGGAAAAGCCCAGCGGCGGCTCGCGGGCCGGCGACTCTTCCGTCCGAAAGGGGATGGGGGACGGTGAGCCCCCCCACGCGCGGTTGGACCGAGTTCCCGCCTCCCTGCCACTGCTCCAAGTTCAGAGAAGAGTAGGTAACCCGTAAGAGTGCAAACTGCCTCCGGCTCCGGGCCAGCGTGCACCCCCACGCGCAACAGCTCGGTAGGGAGCACGGAGTACCTTGAAGCCATATGGCACTGGCGGGATGGCATTGGTACCGTCGTGGTAGGCTGTAGCATACCATACACAGGCTGCACACCAACTTCTTTTGGGACCCTGGCGTGTTGTTGGGTGGGTTGGTTTGGATGTAACCACACGGGGCTGGCTCAAAGTCCTTGTTGTATGTGGGAGATTTGCAAACAGGCGCGGACACGCAAAGGCGCACATGTGCAGGCCCTACCGGCCGGAGAGGGAATCTGGGCGGTGTACGGGGTACGGGTGCGGCGTAGGAGGATGCTATGTGACGATGAGGAAGGAGGTGTGGCTTCTTATCGTGGGGTATGGGGATTAAGGGGGGGGGGGAGCTTCTTTGCTTTCTTCGAGAAGGATTATGGCTTCATGAGGACTGGATGGGGTGGTGTAAGCCGGAGATGCGAAAATTTGAAGTATCATGAAATGATGGGGCGTTTTCCAAGCTCCGAGTAGTTTTGCGCGTGGGGGGGTTCAGGTACTCAAATCCTCTGATAATTGCCGTTTATAAAAAATTTCAACATGTATCGAAATGCCTGAGCCCTCAAGACGCGGGATAGCAAGTTCAACATATCCCGCGTTTCATGCAACAGTCCCAGCTACGGGGTTGTGCGGGTTTCGCTAGACTCCTCTCGACACCGAGGAATTGTTTACGACCTGGCACCGCTGCCATCAATCGCTGCGAAACGGGGGGGAGTTGATATCGCCATGGCCGTGAGTTATGTCGATCAACCTTCACCTTTGCCCTCGGTAAGGGGAAGGCGGGCGGTTGACCACGTACCGAACTTTGCTATGGCTGAGCGCCGTGTTGTTTCGCGTATCAGAGGTATTGAGGAGTGGGATAGAACCAGTTGGTCCAGTGAGAACGGGAAGGGGAAACACGTGGGGAACGTGATTTGCTGTGTTATTGCAAGCTGTTATTGTTTGCAAAATGGTAGCAGACGTTGCTTTTTCTCTCGTCGCTTGGTGTCTTTTTTTCCCTCTCTTTTGCGCTATTGTGCTAGTCAAGTCTAGTTGATAATACATGTACCGATCCACGCCTAACGGACGGATAACGACGACCCGTCGGCTTGGTTGTTCTCATCGCATTGGAATCGGCGTTTGGCGCGGGAGAAAAAAAGGACATGACTTGTTTCTATCACAACTCACAAGACAATGTCTTTTTTTTTTTCACTTTCTTTCTTGCTAACATTTTAGGTTATCAAAGGGGGAGGCCATCAAATCATGATAAATCTGGAAACCAGTTTCAGAGAATGCATGCAAAGCTGAAGAGCCACTATGGATACCTTACTGCGTACAGATGCATTCACGTCGTTCAACGGGGTGGCCCCGTTTCCCGACGATCCGGGGTTGCTTTGGCACTTTACCCGACGATCTTTCAGCAGGAGGCCGACGTACGGATAGATCGAAGGCCTCCGTTCGGCGTTTGGCGCGCAGGGAGAACAGGAAAGGGAACGGCGGCGCCTGGAAGCGGCGGCGGCAGCGGCATGCGGCAACAGTAATGGTAACGACAACGGCGTATGACCTTGCATTTTGATATAAAAGTGACGATCTTTACTGATACTTTCTTGTCGTCAATAATGACAGCTACCCGACGGGAGAAGCTTAATGACTAGTACACTCCAAGTGCGCAGATTGATAGAGCAGTACGGGATAGAGTTGGCGATTGCGTAGGCGCGTTCACGGTTCCGCCCTTCTCACCCCCCGCTGTCAGATTTTTGTTTCGGGAATGCTCAGCTGACCTACCCATCTCGTCATTTGTGACGGCGAGTCGCGCGGGACAGGCCTGAGCTTTTGTCTCCACCCGCGGAGAGACTGGCGAGCTTCCCCGGATGACAAGGAGAGAGAGAGAAGAGTTTGGATGGTGGGGCTGGGACCATTCTTGGGCGATAGGATTACAGTGGTTTTTGGAGGGGAATAACTCCAAACGGGCGAACGGCTTTTCTTTGGAGCAGCGCATGCAAAGCAGGGTAAGAGTCGATGAGATGCAGCTGGGTCCGCGTCCGCGGTACGGACGTTATGTGCGTGACGGCATACCGGGGACGATTACAACTTGTTGTGTAGGAGTGCGTCGTTTCTTATTTCAAGTCAACCGTTCTTCTGGGGCTGCGACGTTGGCGGTTGAGATCCAAAGGGGGGGGGGGGTTCTGTGTGAGTGGTGTGGGATGTATCGGTCTTGGATTCAATAATGGCATCGTGTGGTTATCTCCAGGCCTGCGTGTTTGTGGATAGTCCCCAGTAGCCGTCCGACGCTCTTGATCAACAGACAAGCTGCGGCAGGTGTGTTTGGGGAATGCTGTATTGGCGCGGGTGACGTTGCTCTTCACCAGATGTCCGGCCAGAAAGTACGCTCAAACCCCAGTTCCAGACTTCTAGCCATGTTTGTTTGCTTTTTATCAGACAACTGCTACGCTGGAGGAAAGCCAAGACATGGGGGAACCGGGGATTCTGATCCGCGGTAGTAGCCTTCATTGACCTGGTTGGATATCGTTGGGGTTGATTGTCATTCAGACGATCGACAAACAATAGTCGGTCGTATCTGGGAATACCATTGATCGAGAGATGTTAAGGGCGAATCGGTGATGATTC